GTTTGTTCATCCCCTTAGTTAAAGCACATGTTGCCTTTGGATCAAGCTGGACCACAGTAGACTTGTATACACAAATATAGATATGTCAGTGTAATATGTACATTTGGTAAGCATCAGTCCCCTCTTCTATAAAATAGGGATACTAATAACTACCTTATGGGTTTATTGTATAATTGAATGAAATAAATCATGTGAAATATTAAGTACACTTCTTAGGGGAGGAAAGTGCTTAAAAATGTTGAATGTATTTCTGAATGCATATCTATCAGGTATAAAAGTGGTCAGTTCTGCCTGAGGACAGAGGGTGTCCCAAAGGGGTAACACCTAAATAGAGCCATGAAGGAGTAGGAGTTTTCCAGAAAGCAAAAGGAGGTAAAGAAACAGCATGTGCAAAGGCATTGAGGGTGCAGCAAAGGGAGCGCGAGGCTAAGGGATGGGCCTGGTTATGAAGACATTTGTAGATAAGGTTGAGTTTAGGTTTTATTCTGAAGTAAATGGTATTTGGTCTATTGGGTTTATTTTTTTAATTTTTCTTTTCTTTAACTATGACTTTTATTTAGAACAGAGATCCTAAAAAGATTTATCAAAGTCATCATTTACAGTACTATGAAAACATTAATGGGAAACAAAGTCTTCATTTTAGACATCAGTTTAGTGACTGAAGAACGTGCAGAACATTGAGAAAATGAGAACAAGTAGAATAGAAAGAATCCGAAGCACACGCACTGCTGCTATATTTTTGAGCATATTTATCTTAGAGATTTAATTTTCACTTGCTCTTCTACATATGAAATTATTTTAAATGCTCTAAAATAATATTGTTAAAAGAAATATTTTGTAACAAGGCAATAAATTGCTCGCTAATTTGCATGTCTTCAAAATTTGTATTGAACAATGCTTTCTAAACAAAGCACTATAAAACACTCTGTATTTACTAGACCTCCTCTGTCTCTAGGTTGAATGCAGTGTGGTAGAGCTAAAAAAGAAAAGAATCTAAACATAAAAATCCTAGCTATTATCCTACCCCTAATACACTGCCTGACCTTGACCTAATTATAGCACTTATCCGGGCCTCATTTCCTTATCTGAATTAATTGTGATTTGGTTTCTTTCTCCCCCATGGTGAGGTTGAAGCCCCAGTTTTGTGATTACTTGTCATCCATTTCCAAATATACAAACATTTTATGAACAAAATTTATCAATAGAGCACAAATTGGTTTAGAGGAGGCGAATATAAAATTCTGTTTACAGATGTTCCTATTAAATATATTCTTCAAAAATTATATGGAAAGGACATTAGATTAGCAATATGGATATTGATAAAAGTTAAATTAATGGGGGTAATACAAAGGATGAGACAACTGTTAGAGTTTTAAATTACATTTATATGCAAATCTGACAATATATTTTTAGTACATTATTACAGTAGCAATGTACTTTTTCATTTGTTCCTATGTATTTGTTTTTCTTTAGTGAATTCTACAATTTACTCATTTGCAAAAGCATTTACCTAAATATTTCTAGATGGTTCAATGTTTTTTATTGTTCTCTCTGACATACATTAACATAGAACTATTTTCCTCTCATTTGTAAACTCATAGATATGAAAAAATTTGCTTTTTATTAGGAAACTGTACTACTACCTTCTTGGTAGTCATTAAATTAACAAACACATTTAAATTATTGCCAGGTGGTAACTTAAGAACTGGTAAAATTCGGCTTAATAGGTGAAAGCCTTTCATGACTTGATATCCCGTTATTTGGATCAAATTTTCATTTGGATCAATTTTTTTTTTTTTTAATATATCTTTATTGATTTCAGAGAGAGGAAAGGAGAGGGAGAGAGAGAGATAGAAACATCAATGATGAGAGAGTCATTGATCAAGCCCACAACCCGGGCATGTGCCCTGACCGGGAATCGAACCCCAAGCGCCTGGATCCCAGGTCGGCGCTCAACCACTGAGCCACGCCCAGCTGGGCAGATTTTTATTGTTTTTAAGGTTAAAAAAATGCATCTGCAAAACCACAGTTAGCTATAGAGTTAATGGGCAAATAGTCACTCTCCAGTCAATGTGAAAAAAGCCCTGTTTGTTTATGAGTTAATATATTTCTATAATTATAAACATGAAATATGTATCTACAGCAGTTGATGTAGTAACTGAAATATGACACTTAAGTTTATCTCCCTCTGTTTCAGCCTTTGTTTAAGGGTGTTCTGCCGAATGCTAAGGTTTCTCCAGATGCTTCTTGGAAAATGAGGCTCTAAGTGAAGCAAATTGTTTTACATTTGTTTCATTATCAATCTGCCGGAAGAATCTTAATTTGAGCACTGAGCTCATTTTTATGTGTAACATCTCATGGGACTAAAGACGTTGCACAGGATATATTTTGGGAAATACCCATTCTATTTAAAAACACTTTACATGGAAAAATTTTAAATGAAAGCAAAACAGAATCGTAGTCCACCTGCCCTCTGCTGCTGTAGGAGGAAGGTGGGGCCTGAGGCCAAGGGCTTTTCTGAGAACAGAGGAGACAGCACTGCCACAGTCTTCTCATCGCTTTACTAGTAGAGCTCTATTCCTTTTTTCCTTTCTAAAAATATATACATTTTTATTGATTTCAGAGAGAAGAAGGGAGAGGGAGAGAGATAAAAACATCAATGATGAGAGAAATCATCAATCAGCTGCCTCCTGCACACCCCCTACTGGGGATTGAGCCCGCAACCCAGGCACATGCCCTGACCGGGAATCGAACCTTGACCTCCAGGTTCATGAGCCGATGCTCAACCGCTGAGTCACACCAGCCGGGCTATTCCTTAAAAGAATAAAGGGAAATCCAGATTGAAGCAAAAAATTAATTAATTTAAAAAGGAAGAAGATTGAAAATATATTTTCTAGTTACTAGTAGAAATAAAATTGCAGTTTTTATGTAAGGTTTATTATATGATGAGCTTGGAAAACAGCTATTTGCAAATCAGAATAATTGCCCTTTTCCTGTGAAGTCATTCTGGAGGGTGAAGCGTGGAGATTGCTTTTCTTCTATGTAGATTACTTGGTTTGTTTTAAAGAAGAAACATCAACATAAGGAAATCCCTGAGAATTTTCAATACAGATGTCACCAAAAGGGTTATTGTGCCGACGGTATTTCTCCTCCCAAAGTGTCATGTAATCTTTGTGTAACTTGTAAATGATAACAAAGCAATCAGGCCACATTCATAAAAGCCCAGTGACACATAATTTAGTTGAATCTGAGAATGAGAATTAATTGTCTCTCTTTGTTCCAAGTTCTAAATCTTAGTAAATGATTCACTGCGTGTCATTACAGCTTAATATTTGCATGAAATCACAGTTTAACTGGCATAATTTAACAGCAATTAAAAAGCTATTTAATCGTCATGCAAATTGATATGAGAGCCCTTGAGTAAGAAGGGTGTCTGCCTTTTTTTTAAAAGTATCTCCAAGAGGACAGTTACATACTTGCAGACACCCATAACACAATTGATAACATTTTTCATATTTGTGGAAATATAAGTGAATATTAATTCATGTTTTCCATTATAAATAAGACAATAGAGCAACAATATGAACGTGCCATTCTGTGGGAAGACATTATAGTAATGACATATATCTTTATTCCCCAGGCATAAGTCTAGGTTGGAGGTAAATGCTACACTTGTCCCTGTGCTCTAGTTTATAATCCCGGCCATATCTTCCTTTCTGAAGGCAGACATTCCTGTGTTTAGTGAATGAATGACTGTAATCCAAAAGGAGCATATATCAAAGCTTGAATTTCTTTCCAAGGAGAGAGTGTTGCAGAAAAATTCCTTCCTACCTTCTAAGCAAATTTTCGTAATAGCAGAAATTTTAAAAATTGGTATAGATTTCTTAAAAATAAGCCTTCTGAAAATAAGCAGAAATGTTATTTCATTAGTTATTTGTTCAGTGAGTTATTTTTCAAAATATATATTATAAGCGTAATCTCACAAAAAAGAATTCTTTGGTATTTCACATATAACACAGTGCAGTGTCTGGCATCTAGTAGACTTTCAGTTAATATTTGTTCAATAAATTACATGATACTGAAGTCTGAAGGTCTCAGATAAGTGTAAAAGATTATTGACAGAATTTTAAGAGAAGGATTTAAGTATGGAAAAAACAGAAAGAACACTAAAGGAACATGCTCTTGCACTCCTTGAGACCAACTTGTTTTTTGCAGTCTTGATGACAAATAAGAAGATCATGTGGGTCTCTTTATGAGCTTATAAGAAGACACTTACTGGTGCTTAGTAAAGTTAGTCTCAGTAAAAGTCTAGTCACCGTATCTTATGTGCCTTTTATGTCTTCCATATAATGCTTTTATCCCATGACGTTGACAAGGCCCTAATAAAAACCTTTCTCCTGCCTCCAGTTCCCCTTGCTCTTCCTATTCTTCCAAATTCTCTTTTCACCCTAAATTTATGGTCATTTATTTTCAACCTGTGAGAAACAGATACTTAGAGATTGTCAAAGGTAATAAATGGTCATTTTATCTACACACCAAGCATAGTATGAAGACTGAATACGTGAACATATATGTATTGTTATAACATATATATATGTGTATTATTCCTTTTTCAAATTTTAAAAATGGTGAAGTAAGTATTAAGATATAATTAAAATCATAACATAATTTATAATAATGTTTGGTTATTATATATTTTCAGTCACCAAATATTTAAACAGTATAATTATCATGTCTTTTGGAGATCTGCAGCTTTTGATATTAAATATTGAAATTCATATACCAAAAAATTAGATTATAGACTATCTTCACCCCTAAAGACTGCTTTCTTACTAGACTTATTTAAATGTTATTAATCATACGTCCTTTATGTTCCCATCCAAAGAAAGAGCTTGGACTATTATGAAAGACCAACAAGTGTTTATTGATGAAGTTTTCAAGTTAGCCCTGTAATTCATGGTCCTATACATATATATTTGTTTTTAATTGCTTTTCTCTAGGGCCCCCTTCAGCTCCTAGGAATGTGGTTTTTAACATCAATGAAACGGCCCTTATTTTGGAATGGAGTCCACCAAGTGACACAGGAGGGAGAAAAGACCTCACATACAGTGTAATCTGTAAGAAATGTGGCCTAGACACCAGCCAGTGTGAGGACTGTGGTGGAGGACTCCGCTTCGTCCCAAGACACACTGGCCTGATCAACAATTCCGTGATAGTTCTTGACTTTGTGTCTCACGTGAACTACACCTTTGAAATAGAAGCCATGAACGGAGTATCTGAGCTGAGTTTTTCTCCCAAGCCATTCACAGCTATTACAGTGACCACAGATCAAGACGGTAAGTTCCACCCCTGTTCTCTCAAAAAGGACCCATAATTCCCTTTTGATGCATAATATCCTTAGTGGATCGATATTCACTAAGGTGCAATCCTATATTCTGTGCACTACAGAGGTGATATTCTGGTGGTTGTTTCTTATTGTTTCCTAAGGTTCAGAAAGATATTTTTGTTATTCCTTTTTAGTAGTATGCTGAATTAGATACAATGCTTCTCTCTGTTGTCTAAGCATTTATGTTTCTTTATATAATTCTACATAATCCAATATATCTTAATGAGTAAGTTCATATTACTTACTAATGAATGTTAGACATAAATGAAACGTTGTTAAATGAATTGAAATTGTTGCCCCACTACACTGCTGTCCCTTTTCCATATCAAACAAAGCAAATTGTAAGAATTCTTTAATTATAATTCATACCTATATTGTGAAAATATTTTTGGCCAACATACTTAATCATGATCCTCTGTGAAAAGAAATAGCAAAAAAATCCAGGAATATGTCCAAATGCTATTGTTTAGGTGCAGTTTGTAAAAAGTAGTTAAACTGTCTTTTTTTAAAAATCTAATTGCTTTCAGTTAAGTGTTCCTTTTATAATGCTATAGATTTTTACTACAATATAGTTAGGCACAAATACACCTATGATTTTTTTATAAGCATATATTCTCTTTAATTCTTCCCTAATGACTTATTGCAGAGCACAATACAGGAAAAGCTTCAGAGCTTTTAAAAACTCCCTTTGAGAAGCATTCATAAATCATGTGGATACACAAATGATTGTCTTATGGAAGAAAGTGTTGTATATGAACACACACATATATATATAACATATTTATAAGGATAAAACTATTTTTATACACTGCATTTGTTTGCTGGGTCTGCTATAACAAATGCCACAGACTAGGTGACTTGAACACAGAAATTTATTTTTTCACAATTCTGGAGGCTAGAAGTCCAAGATAAAGGTATCATCAGGGTTGAATTTATTCCGAAGCCTCTCTCCTTGGCTTGTAGATAGCTGTTTCCTCTGTGTTTTCCCATGGTCTTTGCTCTGTGTGTGTCTGTATCCTAATCTCTTCTTCTTATAAGGTTATTGTCATATTGGATAAGACCCCACCCATATGACTTCATTTTACCTTCATGACCTCTTTAAAGACCCTGTCCCCAAATACAGTCATATTCTGAGATGCTAAGGTTAGGACTTCAGCATATAAATTTTGGGAGGATGCAGTTCATTCAACCCCTAACAGACACTTAGAGCAGCATATGATGATATTTTTAAATATAAATATATCGAAAGTGTTGGAATACAACTAAGCAATAGAAAGGAACAAAATAGTGATACAAGCTCTTGGATTAACTTTGAGGGCACTGTGGTGAGTGTAAAAGTCAATCTCAAAAGTCGTCATACTGCATGATTCACTTGTATAACATTCTCGAAATAACACAATTGAAGATAAGGAGAACTGATTAGTGGTGGCCAGGGCCTAGGGATTAGGGGTAGAGCGATGGGTTGTGAATAGGTAGCAGGAGGGAGCCTTGTGGTAGTAATATAGTAATATAGTTGACTCTTAATTGCAGTGGCAGTTACCTGAAGATACAGGAGCCCTGGGGATTTTACCAAGGTCAGTTTCCTGGTTTAGATGTTGTACTAAAGTTACGCAGGTAGTTGACATTGGGAAAGATTGGGTAAAGGATGTATGGAACCTCACTATACTTTTTTGGCAAATTTCTGTGAATCTATAATTATTGGAAAAGAAAAAGTTAAAAACATTGCTAAACCTGTAAACTGTGCAGGAAGAAAACTTTAATATTCTACTAAAGCATGTTTGAAATGGTTGTGACTATTTTATTCAAAATATTATACATAAGTTCACTTTGCAGATATCTCCAGACATGCACCTGCCCTGGCCCGTGTGGCTCAGTTGGTTGGGCGTCATCCCGGGCACTGAGGGGCTGCCTGTTCGATTCCCCGTCAGAGCACGTTCCCAGGTTGCGGGCACGCTCCCTGGTAGGGAGTGTGCAGGAGGCAGGCGATCAATGTGCTGCTCGCAAATCTGTTTCTCTCCCCCTTCCTCTCTCTCTAAAAATCAACAAAAAAACCTTAAAAAAAAGAAAAGAAGAAATGCACCTAATAAATAAAGCAAAGACTAATAGTATTACACAATCACCATTTTTGTATTTACTATGCAATCCCCCCTTTATTTAACAAATAGCTCTACATCATAATATTTGCTTTTTAAGTTTGTTCAAAATGGAATTCTTAATTTTTCTTTTTTTTCTTCTTCCCCATCAATGAAATCTTGTCAAATATACTTTCAGGATAGAACAGATTAAGGCCTTCTGTTTCTCTTTGCTTTAGCAGATTATTTCTAAGGCTTTTTTGCTGCTCCCTAATCAAAAAATACATCCCAGTATAACCATTCTTAACTACAGTGTATAAATAATTGTGTTAGAGTAAAAACAATACATCTCTTTAAATAAAATATATATTAATATGCTTCATAATTTCATACATACATACAGCAGCCTTTCATTCTAGGATTAGAAGAAAGATTATTTCATCTACTTTTCTAGTTAGCAGAAGGATGAAATATAAATTGTTTCTCACTTTAAAAATTTAGGAAATTCATTAAAAGTGTATTGCTGTAAGTGTAAAAGGGTATTGGAATAAGCTGTAGTATCCATATATTGAGACTATACATTTTGGAAGGATGATATTATTAAGCAGTCTTCCCTAATAAGTGTATCTTTGTTGAAGAATGTTAAGAAACAATTATTGCTAATTTAATTTAACTTTTTTCAGATACAGTTAGTAATAAAAAAATTAACATGTATTTAAATTTTATTTGGAAAATATGTAAAGGTCCTAAACTGAACTCAAATATTACCACATATATACTTAAAATATTATGACCCGCCTTATGTACATGAGTGACTATCTCCATGTCATAATTTTTAGACACACCAAGAAGCCCCTCTCTCCTTGTGCCTAAAGTTCTGATATTAGAGAATCACATCTTTAAAAGTACAGATACTTCAGGCAAGGGTGGCATTATGAAGTAATTCACCTGTGGATGTATCATTTACTCTTTTTATATCAAAAGGGGTCAGATTCTAGTGTTGGGTAAAAGGATAACTTATAGAAACTGGAGTGTCCAAGAACCAAACTTCAGCTGCCATCATTGTAGCCAATATTTAAAAAGATAGTACTTTTACTGCTGCAGGGCAAGGGAGGGATTTCTGACCATTTCACCTGGTAGTCTTGGAAATTCTCTTTGAAGTGCCTGAGAGGCACTTTTCCAAAGCTATCTGATAACACATTGCAATTTGATTGGACTGGAGGGACCACAGTAAATGATTTGTTTCATTATGTGTAGGTTACATATTATTGTTTTTATACTAAAACATAAAAGCAATATGTGCTATTCACAAACCTTTAATTTATTCAACATATGAACGAACAATGGCGAGTGAGCCCTTATAAACCTTACCCGCTGGTGGGGAGGTAGATAATACACAGTAACTTGACAACTGTGTAATTAGTGCTGTGGTTAAGTCCCACAAAGTAGAGCAGCTCAGGATGCTCTAACAGCGTGTATCCCCCAGGTCTGCAGGCTAAGGGCTGCTGTTCCTGAGGAAACAGCGTTTAAATGAAGCTCTGTTCTGAGAGATGACTACAATGTGACTAGGCAAAATGATGCTGGGAGGAGGGAGAGAATTCTGAGTAGAAGGACCCAAGAAAAGGTTGAGCAGCTGAGGGATGAGGCACTGATGACTAATATATCAAGAGCACCTACGTAGCTGGTCTTTTTCAGAGGTACAAAAGGATTTGAGGAAGAAACTGGAGATGTAACCTAAACTTCGGAGAAATGAGTGGGTGTCTTCAAATTAGCCAAGACAAGTTAGAGAATCAGCATCTATCAGAAAATTCTGTTATATTAGGGCTACAAGTAGGGAAAAGAAAATCAGCAGAATAATACTGTTCATGAGGTGACACTTGTATGAATAAGGAAATAAAATATTAGAGACCAAAAGGCGTAGACAGTTGTATTAATTATGCTTTCACTGCTTCGCGTATGCACAGTGTGGAGCATGAGGATAAAGAGGGAGTTTGTACTGAATTGCCTTTTCTTTCATGTAATCTTTTCTCATATTTAAGAAGTATTAGGACAACTACATTAAACAACCTTCACTTAATTGTTTGCTCTCTGTTTACAGTTAAACAAATGTAAAAAAATTTTCCCCCCCAAATCACTTACAACCACTTAGCTGTAGTTATGGGAAACATTCCTTGATTATTCTGATTCTAGTTGGATAAATAAGATTAGAGATTTAAGACTATGACTCTCATAATTAGAAATCTTTGCAATAAACCTTAATTAACTGACTTCTATAACCCCAAGAGCTATATTTGTAACCTATTTTCATAGTTTATTTAAATAATCTTTAAAGGTGTTTCATTTAGAGAGCAAAACAAGAAAGCAACACATAGAAAATATTTGGTTTTAATCTTCAGTTCATGATGGGAAAACTAAGGTGTGTACTTCAGTAAAAGCAATTGTCCTGGTCAGAGACAGCACAGAAAAATGTTAATCATGGAGAATCAACCTGAAACAAATTGTTTGTAGATATTCTGACATGTGCAAAAACCTTTAGAAACCATGTTCAAAGTGAAAGACTTTCTAAATTACAAACCAATTCTGCTGATATTTGCTAAAGGGTCTTTAAAGCAATTATTGTCAGAAGCAAGTTGTCCAGTTCATTGGCTTCTTAAAATATATGTTCAGTGCTCCACCTGTGCCATTGGGTGACTGTTCTGTATAGGCCTTGCCTTGGGCTCATCTGTTGATTACACATTTCATATACTTGCTCATGAATTAATTGAACTGACATTGAAAATAGATTTAAATCAACGAAGTTATTCATATATTTATAAATTTGAGATGTGTATGTAATTTACAGTTCACTACCTTTAGGAAATATAGTCTATTTCAATTGCCAACATTTTGTACATTGCTGGAGTAGGTAATTAGGGACACTCTAAACATTCATTCATCTTTATATCTGTACTTTAATGTATTTCATGTCTGAATCTCTCTCACAGTTCTCACTGTGTTTTCAAAATTTTTGACAGCAATTATTGTTTTCTAAAATCTGTACGTCTACTCAAAGTAAACAAAAAAAATAGTATAAAAGTTTTGAAATGCTTACGAAAGTACACTGAATACAAGCCAGTGGCATAATAAGTTGAAAAAGGCAACAACCATAATTAAAGTAACAGATATGCTGTACTATTTGTATTTTTCATAGCTCTTAAACATAAGAAAATTACATATTTTAAAATTACGGGCACCTTACATTGAAGGGTAAAATTTTCCTGTCTCCTCGGGTAAAGTGTTTCTCTTCTGAAAGGTACACTGAATGTTTCATTTATGGAAGATAATTGAAATGTCAATCTAGTTAATCATAACTAAATAACTCTATGGCCCATCCCAATATTAAATTGTAATAGAGTCTGCATGATAGTAAGCTTTGTTTTTACTCCTGAGAAACATTAAATTACTTCCAAGTCGGGTATGGTTTGTGGCATGCATCTATTGAAGAAATGAATGACATAGAAGAGTTCCCTAGACCTTAGCAGTTAATTCCCTTAGGTTTCAGTGTCTCAGCTCTTGGTCAAGTACAGAAATTAAACTGCTCCCAGTCAGCTATGTCCACATGTTTCTCCCTCCCTGCACTGTAATCATATTTTGTAATACTTTGCTTTCTTAATCAATATGTAAGCTTCTTGTAACAAGAATGATGTATTATTTGACTAAGAATATCCTCAGCCTACATTGTCTGTAACTTGATGTATCTCTGTTGATTGCATTAACAGAAATTGGAGATGGTTTAAGTTAATTTTTATTCATTCATTCATTCGTTCAAAAATATTTATTGAATATTTACTATCTGGAATTTTTCTATGTGCTAGGGTTATAGCAATAAAGAAGAAACAAATAAATGGTTAACAGTGTCCCTGCCTTCATGGACATTATATTTCAATGTTGAATAATGATATATCTCATGAAGAAGAATTAAGCAAAAAAATAAATACATAAACAAGACTTGGAAGTAATGGGGAGATGGGCATTTTTACATAGGAAAACCAAAAACACCTCTCTTGATAATATAATAATTGAGCAGATCATAAATGAAAGAGAAAACTCTGTGAATGTATAAAAGAAGACTACTCCAGGCAGTGGGAATAAAAAGGGAAGAGCCTTAAATTTAACAAGGAATTTTTGTCTAGAAAGTAACAGGAAAATATTATTGCATATGTATTCTTTAGCATGTATTAAGTTTCATGCTCACTAAATCCTCTGATACTATACTTACAGAATTTGCAA